CACCCTCCCCACCCACCCCCAAGCAGCTGATGGTTTTGAACTTGAATCTTTCCTTTCCGTGGCAGCTCAATGCATAACCACTCTGCCGCCAGGACTCCTGGTCTAATCACAGCAGGCAGAAGGAATGCTAGATTTTTTTTTAACTCACAGATTAAGAAATGCCCGATGACTTTGTACGTTATAGATGATGGACCAATAGTGCATTTGCACTGTGGGTGCAAACACTCAAACATTTATATCACGTATGCATTTGTGTGTGAGCACGATGGATGTGAAGCTATTGGTTGTCAACAAGTCCTCTATCTAGGTCTCTACACTCTGAAGGTGATGCTTCCATCTCTTGACTCCTTCAATTGACAGCAAGTCAAAAGAGCAGTTTCTGCATTCTCCAGGGACTCCAAGCAGTTCCCTTTGAATGTGCTTTGAGTGTGGGAACACGGAAAAGACTGAAGGGGCAGGAGCCGGACTGTAGGATGGATGGAGTAAAGTTTTCCAACAGTTAAAAGAGTGACTTTCGTTTTCCAACAAAATGATCAAGAGATAGCTCTTGCTCCCTCCGAAGAATGAACAGATGCAGTCTTGTGATGGGGAGGGGAGAGGACAGAATCTCAGGGCAACTGTCCTGGCCATTTCCTCACCAAAGCAATTTTCAGTTTTCTTAAAACATCTGTAAAATAGGTCTCCATGATCATCCTGGGTCCTTCAAGAAAATCTATCAAGAATCCCCTTTGGAATTCCAAAAATCAATCACCATACACTTCCGACCTGTCTTATCTGCCTTGAACTTACTTATCTAGCAGATTCCCCTTGGAAGTCATTGTTTTGACTGGACCTTCTTCTTTTTCTTTCTCTTAAAGTGCCTTAAGGAGACTAAAGCAAGTGTATTACTAAGATAACTTGTCTGCAGTCATTAACACGGTTTGCTAATAATAAGCCCATGTGTATGTGTGTGTCTGTGTTTGTATGCGCGAGTGCCTTCATATGAAAAAAGCTTCAAAAAGTTCATGGAAAAGCAGAGTAGAAAGATAATGGATTTTAAAAACAAAGACACTAAGCTGAAAAAAATAATAAAAGTTTTTAATTAATTAATTTTAAAAATGTTAATCCCATATAAGATCTTGTCAAACAGCAGCATTAAACTTACCAAACACGGGGGGGGGGGGGAAGATAATGGAATTTCCCCCATAATTTTTAACTCCCCTCATACACACGGTACAGGCATGAATGCATTTTTTAATAAAAAGGTAAATGATCATAATCATACCTTTTATCCAGCAAGTCAACTCCTAGTTAGGTAGCCCACAGGAGTATTTTTCTTAGTTAAAAAGCATGTTCTAGAATGTCCACAGCAGCTTTATTCATAATAACATCAACAGAATGTAGCACTATGAAACAAGAAGTAAAAAAAAAATTCTGCTGCATAGAGCATGATGAACCCTGGAGATCTGTGAGTGAAAGATACCAGACACAGAAGAACCCTTTATGTGTAATTCCATTCCTGTGAAGTTTAGGGATTTTACCCATGATAAAATAGAAGCTAGAATAGAAACTAACTTGGGGGGAGGGGCTCCTGACTGGGAGGGGAGATAAAGGAACCTTCTGGCATGCTAGAAATATCTACCCCTTTGAAGCAGGAAGGAAGGGTCCTGGCTGGCCCACAGGTTCAAAGAAGAATGAACCAGGAGATGAAGAGGAGGAGGAGGAGGAGGATGAAGAATAAGTGGCTAACCTGCAATAATATATGGAGTTTGTGTTTACCTGAGAATGTGAATTCAAGTGCAGCTCAATAGTAGCTTAAGTATAAAATTTTGTACAGAATTTTGTATAGCTGATAAAATTCTTGGTAGAGAAAATACTTTTTCTTTTAAATGCAGGCTGTCGCTTTTCAAGGGGCTACTACATAGATCATAAAATTTCTGATGTTGAATGTTTCTGACATATTTAATAGTTAAAAAAATTTAATAGTTCTTTAATTTCTTGACTTATGTGTGGTAGCACAGCAAACGCCTATGAATTAGCATCATTCGTAAATTTAGGTTTTTTAGGATGTTTCATTTTGTTTTTAAAAGATTATAATAAAATTATGTACATTAAAAAAAGACCCCTCAAAAAAAAAAGAACCCTCAGGACCAATAATGAGAGTAGGGATACCAGGAGGGGAAAGGGAAGGTAAGGGGAGCAAGAGGGAACCAATCACAATGATTGACATATAACCCCCTCTCAGGGCGACAGACAACAGAAAAGTGGGTGAAGGGAGATATCCCTCAGTGTAGACATGAAAATATAATAATAACATAAATTATCAAGGATTCCTGAGGGAGAGAAAACATGAACTGATACCAAGGGCTCAAGTAGAAAGCAAATGTTTTGAGAATGATGAGGGCAACAAATGTACAAATGTGCTTGACATACAATGGATATGGATTGTGATAAGAGTTGTATGAGCCCCCAATAAAATATTTTTTAATCTAACTTTTCAAAAAATCTAACTTTTCCTGGATTCTGGTTACATGGGTGTGTTCACTTTGGGAAAAGTAATCAAATTTACACTTGTCTGGTACTTTAATGTACCTGCTATACCTCACTTTAAAAAGGAAACGAATTTTAAAACAAGAAATTTAAAGGTCTGGGCCTGCAACTGTGCTTTTTGGAAATAGCGTTACAATCTGTGTCCAGGGAAATGCACAATCCGTGCCTGGAACGGGATGCCAAGCGGACCACCACAAGCCTTGTTCCCAGGGAGCCACCAGCTGTCAACATATATTCCATGCCGAGAAGTAAGACTCCAGGGGAGCGCACCCCTTAAAACGCATTTAGCACCTCTTAGGTCCCAGGCACATTCTGATAGCTTATTTATTAGTATGTA